AGACGAAATTCAAGATACTAGGAATTTTCTAATATAAAGATATGGGTGGCACAAGCCGGGTGTTGATGCAATTCAATCAATCCATGATGGTACACTCGCAGGAAGATATTTGGGTAAATTTTTTACCGTTTAGAACTTAAAGATAGGGCTTGTTTGGTTTGTTTTTGGGAGAATTGTTTTTGAAAAAAATTTGGGAGAGTTGTTTTAGAAATTTTTTTGGTTTGTTTGGTTGTATATTTTGAAAGTAGTTTTGGAGTTTGGGAGTTTGGGATGATTTGATATTTTGTTGTAATTGAGTAGATGTGTGTGAGAGGAAAAGTGATTGAGAAGGAGAGAGGAGAGAGAAAAAGTGATTGATTGATGTGTAAGAGAGAGAAAGTGATTTTGAAATTTTTTTGAGAAAAACCTCAAACCAAACAATTTTTTGGAAATTTTTTTTCTAAAATTCATCTCTAAAACTCAAACCAAACATACCCATTAACTTTTGTGTATGGAAGGACTTCTAAAAAATTAAAATCTGGAGGGAAAAAAAAAAACAATTTCCACTACTTCACAAATTATAAGGGCAAAAAGGACAATTACACAGCAAAAGGCTACTTTACAACTAACTCTAACAAACACTACTCTATTGCTCAAATTCATAATTACACAGCATTGCACCAAACAATTTAACAGCTTCTGCTCAAAACAAAAATCTAATCTGTTTCCAACCACTGCAGCAAATAGGGCCACAGTGAACAATGAATATTGATTAAAGCATTGCAGACATAAGCACATAACATAACTGAAGAGTACAGAATTACAACTTCATGCAAACACCATGTTTCCCAGTGCTATAGATTATTACAAAAAAATGGTAATTTAACTTTATCAAGCAGCACAGTGACATTTTTTTTGATCAGGAACAAACAAAGATATATTAAGGCTCAAGGCCAAGAAAAAAGAGGATAAGGCATCCTCTAACAAGAGAGATGGAAAAAACCAAAAAGAGAAAAAAGAAAATACAAAAATACCAAACTCAAAACTACTACACAGAACAAACAATAAAAAAGTAAGCACATATTTTACAATTAATTACTATTAATAAAAAAGTAAGCAGCACAGTAACATAAAGAGACAAACAATAAAAAAGTAACTGCTTCCTGGAAGTAAGCACATATTTTACTATTAATTAATATAAAAATCAGAAAAAACAATAAACATTGAAGAACAGTGGACCCTTATGATGCAAATACCTGTTGATATCTGATTTCTAACTTTGTTAAAATGGTGTCAAGTTTTTCCAGCATCCTTTTGTAATAATCGTTCCTTGCAAGTACCATAGCTTCTATGCTTCCTTGATTAAAAGTCAATGGAGATGCATAATATGGATGATCACTTGAGAAACCACTCCAGCAGGGAAGGATATCCTCATAAGTATGATTTACGGTGCCAATATGACTACATAATTCAAGCAACTTCATTAGTACTTGAAGCTGCTGACCAGCTCTTACAAGAGGAATTGAGAAATCTTTCAGAAAACAAGGAACAGCAACTCCATCTCGCTCCTGACACGGAAAATTTCAAGATTGTGAGGGAAATCCTGAGGGGGAAGCTAAAAGTAAATTACACAGAAAACAACCTCTGGATTGGAAAGTGAAAATACAATTGATAGCATTACCCTAATAGTAGCTAATCGGATGTCACTAAAGCTTCCAGCTTTACCAGGTGGATAAGGTGTATTTTCGACATATTCCATTACAAATTCTTTATAAGGATCACTAATCTTGGCTTTGTAAATCCATGATCTAATAAATTCACAATATGGTTCGCATGAACAGAGAAAGAGAAACTTGAGGAGAGCAGTGTGGGCAGGATCAGCAACCTACAAAGTTAAATGTCAAAAACACAGATTAGCGGAACCTCAAAAATGTTACAGAAAGGAACATATATAATCAAAAGCTATAAACATCAGATACAGCCTTTAAGAGATCAATATAAAAGTTCCACTAACACAAATTTTCAATCACCGGAGAAAAATTAGTATTCTTGAGGTCAAGAATATTATATCTGTGCCATCACGCAATATGTACATACTTGTCCTTTTTTTTATTTACAAAGATGGAAAGGTAACAGCATAGCTTTTGACTCTCACAAATGCATGTCCAGATGTCCTCGAAGCGAGACAACATTATAACATTGTAGATTTTGTCCACTTGGTTATTGCTCTCACCTATATATTTCTGCTACCTAGAAGGAAGGAGAAGATTTTAGCAAACATGAAGTTTACGAGTGAACAATCCACATTGCATGAAGGATATTGACATGAAATGATTATTAACATAAAGCTAGCAATGAAAACATAAAATAATAAGTTGAAAAGCACAATAAAGTGACTAATTGAATCATCAACAGTAGATAAAGAAAGTGGAAGAAACAACAAAAAAATTTAATAATGGTGAGTTTCTGACCCGTAGTTGTGTATACAAATAAGTGAGCAGATCTCCACCTCTTGGGAACTTATGAAACTCTAAATTTGCTTTGGCAATTAAACCCTCAAAAGAGGATACTGAAAAGCAAAGAGCTATATTATGAATATTGCAGATATTTCCAATAGCTTCAATCTGACTTCTCAATTCCTTTGTGTGGAGGTAAACCTCCAATAGGGTAACTTCAACAGTCTTTGATGAACGTCTTAAACCCACTGATGCAAAAAGTGTATCCAGTGTGCATATGTAACCTTCTAAAACCTTCTGCACAGCAACAGAAAATGCCTGATTAACAAGACTGTATGGGTGGTGTTCTCCCCCTTCACCCTTGCGATCATTATGATTTTCCTCTGCTTCTGAATTCATAAGTTTACTGCAACTCAAACTTTCATCAAAATTAAAATTTTTAAAATGATCCACAAATTTATGGAGAATAAAGACTACACAACCCGAGCGGCCTATGGATTTGAGTATCTTTCCCAAAGCAAGAGTGCTTGACGACCGTTTCCATAAACTGGGAATTCGATGGAATGTTCTGTCAGCTGGATCAGAACAGAATGCTGCACAGAGATTTTCAATGGTTATGAGAGCTGATTCTATACCTTGCAGTGCATTCATTGCCAATCTCACCAAACTTGCCTCCTGCAACCAAAAAAACAAGCTAGAATGAGACAATTGCTGCTAATCGCAGTAAATTTCACTTGACCGAGGGAGTTGTGGTGGTGACACGAGTTGAATATGATGTAAGCCGTGAAACCAGCTCCTTTATAACTCAGCCACAACTCTATGGAAGAGATGAAGATAGAGACAAGATTGTCAAATTTCTGGTCGAGGATGTATGTGATATTGAGGATGTTTCTGTGTATCCTATACTTGGTATAGGAGGGCTTGGAAAGACTACCCTCGCCCAAATGGCCTTCAATGATGAGAGGGTCAAACCCCACTTCGATCCTAAAATTTGGGTTTATGTTTCTCAAGATTTTGATGTGAAAAGGGTGATCAAAGCAACAATAGAATCTGCAAATGAAAAAGCTTGTGAGGCAGTTGACCTAGACTCACTGCAGAGAAAGCTTCGCGACATGCTGCATGGGAAAAGATACCTGATTGTATTAGATGATGTGTGGTATGAAGATCCAGACAAGTGGGATGCGTTCAAGTATTCACTAGCATGTGGATCAAAAGGTGCTTCCGTTATTGTCACTACTCGTGTTGATAAGGTTGCATCAATCATGGGAACTATTTCACCTCATCGCTTGTCAGTTTTATCCAAAGAAGATTGTTGGTTGTTGTTCAGGCAACGAGCATTTGGACTTGGAAATGAAGAACGCCCAAACTTTGTCGCCATTGGGAAGGAGATAGTGAAGAAGTGCGGGGGTGTGCCTTTAGCTGCGAAGGCCCTCGGAGGGCTAATGCGCTTCAAAAGTGAGGAAAAAGAGTGGCTTCATGTTAAGGAAAGTGAAATTTGGAAATTACCCCAGGACAAAAATTCCATCTTGCCTGCCTTAAGATTAAGTTACTTTTATCTTCCATTGGAATCAAGACAATGTTTTGCTTATTGTGCCATTTTCCCAAAGGGTTCTCAAATTCGAAAGAGAGACCTAATTCATCTTTGGATGGCTAATGGCTATATTTCATGCAAAGGAGGATGGGAACCGGAAGATATTGGTGATCAGATTTGGAATGAATTATGTTTGGTATCTTTTTTCCAAGAGGTGAAGGACGGCGGAAGTAATGTATATTTCAAGATGCATGATCTTGTGCACGATCTTGCCCAATCAATTATGAAGGGTGAATGTCAAATGATCGAGTTTAACAGTTCAAGTGATATATACAACGGAAAAGCTCATCATCTAACATTGGTTGACGGGCGTAAGGAAAATTTTCATACCACATTTCACAAAGTTGTATCCTTACGGACATTACGACAACAACGTTCAAATTGGTTATTCCTAGATGACTTATTTTTGTGTGATTTCAGAATGTTTGGTTCACTGCGAGCTTTTGATGCACCGGACAGAGTGGGAGCGTTGCCACCTTCAATTGGCAACTCAAAACATTTGAGGTATTTGAACCTTTCCCGTTCTAGTTTCTTGCGACTTCCTGATTCAATTTGTAATCTCTTGAATTTGCAAACATTAATCCTAGAACACTGTCACAATCTTGGGAGATTGCCCCAGAACATGATGTACCTGAGAAGTCTCCGGCATCTTTTTCTGTCAGGGTGTCGGTTAATTGAGATGCCCCCAAAAATTGGGCAGCTAACTAACCTGAAGACATTAAGTGAATTTGTTGTGGGTAAGAGCACTGATTGTAGTCTCCTAGCTGAATTGAAATGCTTAAACCTTCAAGGAGAACTTTGTATCTGGAACCTTGAGACAGTGAGAAATCCGATGGATGCAAAAGAAGCCAATTTAGTGGGAATGCAAAATCTTAGTAAGTTGCAACTAAATTGGGCATATGGTTTTGCTGAATGTGAATCACAGGAAAATGTTAAATCTCAGCTAGTACTTGAAGCCCTTCAACCTCATCCAAACCTAAAGAAGTTGGACATAAGCGGGTACATAGGTACTCAATTCCCGCTCTGGATGAGGGGTTCAGATCTTCAAAATGTAGTTAATATCCGGCTCTCCGGGTGCAACAACTGCTTACAACTTCCACCGCTTGGACAACTACCTTTGCTACAAAGCCTTGAAATTTCTGGAATGAAAGTAGTGGGGTGTATTGAAAACGAATATCCTGGCGGTGGAGGATTCCCATCTTTGGAAGAACTCACAGTTCACGATTGTCCGAAATTGGAAGGTTTGTCAAGGGAGGAGGGAAGAGAGTTGTTCCCTCGTCTTCGTAAGATAGATATTGCTTATTGTCCTAAATTGAGCTTCCCGCATCTTTCGGCTCCCAAAGAATTGTCGTTGGTTGGCGACTACACCACGGGACTAAATTCAATATCAAATCTTAATAGTCTCACTTCCCTCACTATTGGTTATGATGACAAGACGGTTTGTTTTCCAAAAGAGTTTCTGAGGAACCTTACTCTTCTTGAGTCACTAGTGATTGAGAATTATTATGAGCTTAAAGTGTTGCCTGGAGACCTTGCAAGCCTTGTCACATTGAAGTCATTGAAGATCATAGACTGTCCAAAGCTCGAGTCTTTGCCAGAGGAAGGGCTACGAGGCCTTCAATCGTTGCTCATTATCAACTGCTATGAACTGGAAAGGCGATGTGAGAAGGGCAAGGGGGAGGATTGGTATAAGATTGCGCACATACCGAAATCACTATTATTACGGTATATGATTCTTCTTTTGCTCATTGTATTACTAGTTGGTTTACAACTGTAACACACTATATTAAATAAATAGTCAAGGGGTAACCCATTTATAAATAAATAATTTAAAAAAAAAAATTCACCAAATAATAAATTCACCTTAATTTGTTCAGTATCTAAATTTGAATTTATATATTTTTTGCAATTTGTAGAAGTTGTTAAACAAATTAATCTCAAATTGATTGAGATTTCAACAATAAGGCTCCGTTTGTTTTGTTATAAAATATTTTTCATGTAAGGTAATTTTGTCCAAATTTTTTTTTTATTTTTTATTTTTGGATGTTTGGTTATCACTAAAATATTTTCTCCAACAAAAATATTAATAAAGAACTAATTATAGAGTAAACTTTAAAAAGAAAAAAATATAGAAAGATAATATTCATATATATAATTTTCGTTTAAGATTAAACATAAATGATGTGACAACAATACTCTTACAATTATGAATTATAATAATGAAATTTTGTTTTTAATGAGTGGATATAAATGTAATATACCATTATATATAGATTTTTTGTATATAAATTATGTTTGTATATCATTATTCAAGGGATAAAAGACAGTTTTAGTCTCTCAACCTTCAATTTTGTCATTTTGATCTTCAAAGTTGTCAATTTGAGTCAATTTAGTTCTATCTCTAACGTTTGTTTACATTGATAATTGGAAAAATATTTTATCTTTTGGTAAAAGATAACTTTGGTCCCTAAAGTATCCATTTCTTATCATATTAGTTTATCAAGTTTTAAATTTTGTCATTTTGGTTCTCAAAATTGTTAATTTAAGCTATAATCAAATTGACAACTTTGATAACTAAAATGACAAAATTTAAAACTTGAGGGACTAGAATGACAATAAATGAATATTTTAAGGACCAAAACTATATTTTATTCATATTCCTGTTATCAATGTAGACGGACGTTAGACCTATGACTAAATTGACAATTTTAAGGACCAAAATGACAAAATTGAAACTTAAGGGATTAAAAAAAAAACATCGCACACTTTAGGGACTAAATTGTCTTTTATCCTTATTCAAAAATAAAAGAAGACAAGGATTGAATATAACAAAAATAATAACCCCAAGCCTTAATTTTGATCAATTGCTCAATCAATATATATATATATATATAGGAATATATATGTATAGGTGTATGTAGAGAGAGAAAGAGAACAAAAATATTCAATGTGCATGAAAATAATGAGACTTGATATATATCTCAAATAGTATTAACCATGATATTTTATGGCGAAATAAACCTATCCTAAGACATTGGGTGTAATCATGCACCAGGACTTGTGTGATGAATAGTACCTCTTATGACAAACATTTGTCATAAAATTGATCAAGCTTGACATGTTTTGCATGATTCATAATTGAACTTCAATTTTCATTGTCAATCACAATTATTGGCTAAAAATAGTTACATATTTTCTTTGAATTGTTTTTTGTGTTCTTTAAAGAAAGCTTGCCCAAAGAAAATTTTCACATTCAAGTGTATCCGAACTACTTGAATTAAAAGAATTCATCTAATGGTTGCTTTATTCAGTTTTAAACCTGACCTTACAATAGCAAAATCTGAGCTAAATTTTCTTCTTCCAAGCTCCTTTCCATCAATATGGTCGACTGTTGCTTTAGCTTTTTTACAGCTCTCATCGTCTTACCTATGTTTCATCAATGATGCATACATACATAATTTGTGAGAACAATCGTTACAAAATGGTGGTCAGCATATCTAACCTTCACCTAGTTCATATACAAGCAGGACAAATTAATGTAACAAATTACTTGAAGAAGGCAAATCATTTGTTTTTCTGAACCTGATTATGTTTGAAGAACATAAATCATTTATTTATTTTTAACCTGACCTATCTAAGATGGTCTATTCGGATTGGTTTTGCTTCAAAATGGACTTAGAAGCATAAATGTCGAAAGTTTACTTTCTATGCTGACGGTATGGATTTGTGGTTTACCTATGATAGTCTTACAGGTACCGTTCGGTGGAACTTGAGAGCTCATTGAGTCATTGATGATTCAGAGATTGTACGTTTCATCTTTATAGGTTTTTGTTTTCTTTGGTTTTTGTGTGTTATTGGAGGTAATATTATTGCTTTTGTAATAGCAGGTGCTGCCATGCTCTTTGGGTCACGATGGCTGCTGCTAGTATTGAAGTGGCTGTGGCATCGGATGCTTTGTTGGTGGGAAGGTTTTGGGTTGTTCATGGGCATGAGATTATCTAATAGGAGGTGGATCAAGTCAATTGTTCTGTTATCCAACTCTGCTATGTTAGTTTCTTTTCTGCAAAATAAAGATTAAATGTAGACCATATTTGTC